ATTTAGAATTTTCCCCAACAAACTGTGATTCGATTTGAATACTTAAGTAGCACAACGATCAGTCATGGACGCACATCTAGACAGCAAACGACTAGTTTTTGAGGTCGAACTTGAAAAAAGTAGGARTATGCAAATACACAAACATAGCTGAAATGTGTGTTACTGTGTATTTTTGTACATAGTATATGCGTATATAAGCAAGYAGCAGTAGTCAAATAATGTCCTTTATCCTACTGCAAAAAATWTTCCTCTCACTTTCCACGCACATAACCATAAATCTTCTTTTTCTTCAATATTAGCATGTTTGCCCGTGTGTGTTGACATGCGCRTGTGTGTGTGTGCTATTTGACCATGATGTAGGTTAATTGCTTGTACATAGCTTTATGTAACCGAAAGTTACAGTGCGTATTTGTGCTCGTATTACAAAATAAGCAAGCTGCTGACCGCCCACGTTTTGTTGTTGTTTATTTGCTTATGTGTGTGTGTGAGTTTGAAATATTTTAAAGCTACAAGCGCTTGATTTCATCAATTAGCCAAAATGAAATGCTAAACTTTTGCTCACACCACATACACACAGGCAAAAGTATACACGAATGAGGAGAGTGTAATCCGTTTATGCAAAAAGCGCTGCATAATTCACACATGCAAATACTCGGAGCTAGCACAATTTTTCCCAACGGTATTACATATACTTTAATTATAAATGCACGTGTGTGAAAAATATTTGCTGCCAGAATAAAACGCTTTTAAATTGCTTTTATTTGCTTACATTTTAAGTCGYTCAAATTTCAATATTTCATAAGACAGATTATTTTCAAAGAGAGCTTAAAGGAAAGAATATTTTATGTAAAATTTAATTTTTATGAAATTTTCTTATTCCTAATACCTCCTTCATTTAAAAAATATATACATTTTCATACTAAATAAGCTGAAAAAAWGAGGAGTGTCTGTCCTCTATGGAAATAGCATAAATAAGTACATCTCATYGTCCTATTGATTTGAGTGCCTGGTTAAAGCGAAATCTCTAGCAACTACAAAGCCGATGAGCTAGTCAGAAAGGGCACTCGTGCTCCGCTCACATTGGAATGGGACTGAGTTGGATCGACATTAGCATCCTGCGTTCTAGGACTGTGCTAATGATCCTCATGTGAGCTCAGTAGGCGCTGATTGACTACCTACTTGTAGTCCTGTCTGACAGCAAGATCTCTTTGGCCTGAAGTACAATGCAGGATATCTTCTGAACTGCTTGCTTTTAAAAATGTTCATCTTGCTGCAATTGTAGGGGCTCTTAAAGGACATTGTATAAAAGGCATCGTGCGCTTGTATAAAGTGTTTAGAGGAGGATGAGCTAAAAACATCCAGATGCTTTCTTCTCCATTGTCCAGCCTTTTCAAGACTATGGTTGAAACATTTCGGCAGTTTTATCTTCGACGAAACAGAAAACGTAGCAGAAACTGGAATCCGTCTCCTCCTTGAACTTGTGATAGGCTCCATCCTCCAGTTTTCCWTTCTATTCAGTTTTTGATATCATTTTCCGTCGGAAAGTCCATCAGCTCTCAGATCTTATTTCCGAAACCAGGCTGTGTGAAAACCAAAAAGACTTCAAATCCTGTCGGTAGTCATCATCAGGGTCTAAAAGTTGTAGTTACAGTTTGTCTCTCCGGATTTATTAACAAAACGAGAATTAAGTTTTGACCAAAAAAAGTAAAATTTGAAAATTAAAATGAAAGTCAGCTACTCGTTAAAAAAAACTCATTAGTCACATAAATTAAATAAAATCTGTCTTAAATCGCAATTTAGAAACAATAAAACCTCTCATCTTATTAAACATTCGCCTCCAACTCTCCACTTTCTTATATGTAATACGTGTTTAATATGCTTTAAATTACGCCCAACTCCTGCAGACAGTCGTTCTGCTTCACCCTTATTTAGTCCACAAAGGCTCCCCTCTCTCTCTCTCTCGCTTGTAGCGCTGATTCATGCTCTTGAATTTGTTGTACTCTAAACTAAGGCAGACAACAAACAGCTGACCTATGCAAACATAAATCGGATTTTATTGTTAAGTTGATTATATTTCACTTTATTTACATAATGTCCGCAATACTGGCAAACAACTGATGCCAAAGCAAACAACCGAAAATGCACAAGAAGAAAACAGCAGTTGAACAAATGTGAAGAGAAATGGAATTCAATGGAAATCATATGCCACTGAATGTATTCCTCGGTGTATTATTGCGTGGGAAGATCTTGTTTATGCTCAGTACTTACCGGTTCYGTAAATTTTGAAATAATTGGACTGATACGCGAAGATAAGCGGATTTATCAATATTGTTGCATGAAATATTTGCTTTAGGAATCGTTCTTTAATAAAGCTGCTGCTAGGAATGGTGGAYGAACTGAAGGATGGAGGATGCTTCCATGTTACAAGCTTGAAATTATCTACTTAAATTATTAGTTGTTGAGAGATATCCTGGATATCTATCTATAGACAGTAGTGCCTGAATAGCATATAAATTTGCTACTTAATCACAAATAAGTCTCAGAGAATTGGGAAATTCAAGTTTTTTCATCATTTCGAATGAAATGTTTATTATGAAGAACGATTTTATTTGCATAWCGTCACCTTAMATGCAAAAAATATAGCATCACTTYGSGTATGTTTGCMGGCGAAGGCAAACTGTAAAATGAAAKCCACTCATATGAAAAAATTGTATGTTTTGGTTATAAAGTGGTTAAATATTGGTCATATATGAGTTATCTATTAGTTAAATCTGACAGCGGAAGTTTAAAAGTTTGTGGATACATAAACGTTGGAAAAATGTTACAATTGAAACCGCTCACAGGTTATAAAGTTGGTTATAAAGTGGTTAAATATTGGTTATATATGAGTTATCTATTGGTTAAATCTGTCAGCAGAAGTTTAAAAGTTGGTGGATGCATAAACGAATGAAAAACGATATAATAGAAACCTCTCACAGTGAGACAAAAYTTTTAGTTTTGGTTATAAAGTGGTTATATATTGGTTATGTATTAATTAAATCTAAAACGGAACCTTAAAATACATACACACATATGTATAATAAGATATAGTGAATCGTAGGCAATAAAATACAAAATTTTAATTTTTTTTTTCAGGACATGCTCTTTTGCATTATCTATTTCCAACTTTACTCTGTCTAGCTAGAAAATAAAATTTGGAGCATTCTACCAAAAATTATTCTCTGTGTAGTTATTGACAAATGCCTACATATATTTWGCACTGTAACAGCGTAAAGGTTCCTTTGTAATTTTACTCAGCGCAAAGACATGCTGGCGCTCCTACTCAATTGTCTGCGGATTTATTTGAAATGTTCTGTTCACAAAAATCTTGCATTTTTTCACAAAAACTCAATATTTTTCCAGCAGAACTCTCATGCATATATACATACATACACATAYATAAGTATATGMATATCTGTATGCGTAAATATCCWACAACCAATAGCCTGATATATGCCGGCAAATTTGCTGGTATGCTTGTATGTCGTTGCCGCTCTCTTTCAACGTCACGGCCATTCGCACGCACAGTTGTCTTGTCTACCAGTCCAAGTATGCGTTTGTGAAATTCCTTTAAAGGCAGCAATGCACAAGYACCCATTTCGCAAATAAAAAAGGAAAAAAATGGATGTAAAAAAGAATTCATAATAATAATAGGGAAAATCAATAGACTTACCAAGTGTGGTGTAGTTAAAGAATAGATGTAAGAAATTGTTTGTTGAGGAAGCAGAAAAGCAGCACAAGCATGAGCGAAGATGCTGTGCATGAATGTAAGTAAGATATGTTGGCATCGAGTAAAGGACTAACCAGTTAGGGATATGTGTTGACGTTGAATGCGCTGTAAGTGAAAAATRTTCTTTTTCACATGTCACAATCATAAGTTGAGCATAGAAAAGACTATGACAAACAAACGTATATGAAAAAGATAATTTTATTTTTTGGTTATTTTTTATTTTTATTTTTTTGATGTACAAATAAATATGTACTATATATGTATGTGCCCTAGTACTTTTTCAGCATAGAACAGCTTAGTGTCCAAGGTCGCTTATATACTATAAGCCTATATACCACCTTCTGTCATAATCAATTAGGCCGCCTATAGACTAGCTATTGAATAAGCCAATATTTGCTTTAAGCCKTTAGCTTTTGACTTGCAAGTGAGTTGCCATTTTACAATCCAATTTTGTGACTTTAAGTAAGCACTTCCACACTTTTCCTAAACCACACCGCACRCATTCCGCTTCAAAAAGTACGATTAAGCCACCCACGTTGGATCCAGGATGTGCCCAGCAGCCACGCTCCTTACCAATTCAACACTCAACCGCCCAGAGCACATCACAGCAATTTCGCCAACAGTTGCCCGGTGGTCATGCCAATAGTTGCACCTTTATTTAATTGTTGGTTGCCACAGTTATGGACAAACAATTGTTGCCAATCACAAAAAAATAAAAATAAAAAAAAAAACAATTTTTGAAAAATGCTTCAGTGCATCCKTTTGCCCAAATTGAAAATGTCTAAATTTTTTGGCAGTCAATAGCCTTTCCGAAAGTGGCAAGTCATTGACACAACACTGCGCAATAATRCCATAATACAGCAACCGGAAACAGGATGTTGACATTTAGGTGAGCAGTTACAATGTAACAGCGTGACAGCGCACATATGTTGGCTAACACATACACACATACACACATATATATTTCATATTTTTAAGGATATAGTGATGTTGCAGAGCTATGCGTGCGCAGCTTACCCATTGTAGCCTGTTTTGTTGTTATTTATTTTTTATTATTTTATTTTGATTCTTACTTTTTTTTGCATTTTCGTTGCTACTGTTGCTTAGCGTCAGGATTTCCTCACTTGATTTTACTGCTTTTGACAACATTATTATTGTTATTATGATTTTACCTTAAATTTTTGCTGCATTAATTTCAGTTTTGTTGATATTTGTTTTTCTTCTATTGCAGATTACACACGGTTTTTCAGCTCAATCAATTTGGGTAGTTTTGGGTAAGTGAAAMAGTTTACCATTCCATTTGTAAATAGCCGAATATGTTCATGTATATGTGTTACAGTATGGTATACACATATTTTTAATAGCAAAATATTGCCTAATACGACTTTTTTTATATTATTCGATGAAAATTTTTCGAAATACGAAAAAGAATATTTTAAAATTTAATAAATTAATCAGATATTTGCTGAAGGTAAAAATACCAAAATTAACTTAAAATTACTTAGTATATTTTAAAGTATTCAACTGATTTGCTAACATTGCATGAAATTATATTTATTGGTATCTCAACATCAGCAAACTCTTTCTCACCAGTTGGTGAAATTAGAATACTTATTGGGTGATTTYCACTAATTATTGCTAATAATTATATTACTTTACAAATATGTAAAATCGAGCATAATGCCACTTTATCATATAAAGGTATTCACTTAACCATAAACTATAATTTCCGAAGACATAAAAACTCGATTTGAAGGACTATTTCTTTGTAAATCCAGTATTCAGCATATATGGATGAAAATTTTTGCATTTTTAAACTTTTAAACTCTCTAAAGTCGGAAAATAAGAGTTCTAATTGCATACCGGCCAATCGTTATATCTGAAGTAAGATTGAATATCGTACGTGAAGCCTACTGCATTAGCTGTTTGGAGGAAGATTAAAAAGCATCATCTCAACACTTCCTCCCCAAATGTCTCGCTTTCGYCAAATCAAAGCAAAAACATTAAACTCTCAAACTTAAGAAAACAAAAAAACACCGRGGTATATTTATTTTGTAATCAGCCATATAAACTAACCTAACCTTACAGCCGCATGACGTATGACGAAATAGTATTGGTGACATTGAAATAAGAATTCGGTTGTTATTCTGTTTAATTTTTTTCTTTTTTTTTTTGTGACATTAGCATTTTTATAGAGCAGGTTTGTACGCTTCATTATACTTGCGTTAAGCTTCTTTCCTATTTCACTTCTTCTGCATTATCTGAAGAAGCTTTCGCCATTTCATTGTACATGTTCTAGGCTTTTATCCTAATTTACCATTTCTCCATTAACTTGGAAACGAATTTTAAATCCCAGTACTAATTTAAATGTATTTTACTGCTTTGCTTCTCTTCTTTTTTCGCTGACCTAGAATTTTTCTTATTACATACGAATCTAGATAACCGGTAGGGACCCGGTTTATTTCCGGTCAAATACTGTAAACATAACCGAATTCCAAGTAAAAACTCACTTTCAGTAATTCCTTTTATTGACTACTACAGAAGCCTTTGAAAATGATAAAAAATTAAAAAAAACAAATTTTATAATAGGATGCAACCTATCTCGAGCGAAAGACCAATGAGCAAAAAAAAATAATAATAATTGACGGGCGATCTCAGGTCGAGAAAAGTAAGGGCCTGGTCATAGCTGAATCTCGAAGGGTTAATTATGGTTTATCTCGATTTCCGGCAAAACCACCAGTCCTATAGAAAAAGTTTATATAGCAAAATTTATTTAAAAAAATTAAATAACCAATTTTTTTTTTGTTTTTTACATTTTTGTATTAAAAAATTTTTTTTTTACGAAATTTGATGAAACTTATCTTTGTATGTTCCAAAGACACTGTATTTTGTTTTCGTATCGCAAAAAACCAAATTTTCAATCAAAAAAGTGGCTCAATTCGGTACTTCTGCTTTAGTGCCACAAGAATTATTCATTGATCGTTCCTAGCACCAATAGATTCCTCAGTATAATTCTTCTTTATATTCATATATTAAAAACGCTTTTATTATTGGAATTTCTGAACTTCTCTATGGATATTACCAGTCGTTGGTATGTTTTGGTCTACGACAAAGAGATGCATTCATATTTCTCAGCTCAGAATTCATGAGTCTCGTCAAATTTAAGCGATTGAAAGCCAGTCGCTTAAGAAAAAAGATTTCGTTTTGAGTTTAATAGATAGAACATTTCATCCACATTATCATGCATGAGCTTGCCCCTGGCTATATTTGAGATTGATTCCTGGTGACTAGACACCTATGTGGTATGTGATTTCATGACCTTTTTCAAACAACTAGATTGCTCACTATAATTTCGACTTAATGCTAACAAAACTCGAGAAGGAGCTGCGCAGCTGAGCCCCTCCACAACAAAATACTTTCCTGGTTACATATTCAAATCGTAGTGTCGTTTAGGAACGATGATATTTTAGTACAGAGACGTCTCCATATCATGGAACGCTGTTTTCTCTTATAAAATAGTGAGTTTATAAAAATSTAACGAAAACGTTTGGAAGTCTTTTTATTTATTTTTTTAACAACACTCTCTTAAACGCCAGTATCTTTCAAAAGAGTTGATAACTCGATATTCTTTAAGGTTTTGTGTGTGTCAAAAAGTAGCGAAAAAGTAATGAATATATTTTTATACCCAAACTTTATATCATTTTCTATACTCAATAGCGCGCACAGCGTCTGTCCTTTCACAGGGCAGCAAACCTTGAATTCATTTTGKGCTTATCTAAACATAGAATCCAATGAATATTTAATTTATAGCAGAAAGTAGAGCAAAAGTTGTTTCCATGTTTGCTACATATGTAAATTGCATTATTAAATAAAGTCATTTATTAATGGAAAAAATCTGCCTGCCGCCRCCCTACGGAGTCAACAAGGATATATGAAGATTAACAATTCATAAATAAAGCGATGATAAGCTGCTGTACAAGCGGCATAGAGAGCCATACAGCTGGGCAATAATAATTTCTAATATATACGCACAAAAAAGTTGTAAGTGTGTGTGTGTGTGTGGCATGTTTTTAAGTATGCGCGCGTGTGTGTGCTTTTCGCTGCCTGTGTCAACAMTATCGATTTTTTTCGAAAACGCTTTATGTTGTCCGACAATGTTTTCTCTATGCACATATATACATATTTGTCATACATACATATACATATATTTAAACGCTTTTGTTGTTTTAGCTAGTTGTTATGCCTTGTCGTTGTATTTGATATTGGAATAATAATATTTCACATTGCCTGCTGTGCTGTGCTATGTTTGTATGCTGCTTGAGCTACAGTAAGCCTGTATTATTGTTTGTGTGTGAGTGTGTGTGTGGACAAGCTTTTGGCTTTTATTTATTTTGTTTTAACATTTCTGTTTGTTGTTGCGCATATTTTTGTTGTTGTTGATAATTCAATTTCACATGACATGACTTCATCGTTATTTCATAAATACATCAACACAATTTCAGACGCATGTAAACATGTTTAGATAGCAATACTCTG